ATGGGCCTGTCGTCCGCCCCAGGAGAGACGCGACTCGCTCCATGCTCGCTGGAAATGCTCCAGAAACTCCGATGCTGTGATTACTTTGTGAGAAAGTTGTCTGGAGAGACAAGATGCAGCCATTTATCATTCTGGCTAAACTTAAGGATGATGTGTGTTGTTGATGTTGATGGAAGAGATGGATGACGGAGAGAGAAAATAGTGGTGATTCTTGGCATCGGCGGACGAAATATATTAGGGGTCTTTGTGAGCGCTGAACACCTCTACGCTACAAACTTATCAGGAATCAGATAAATTCTCTGGATTTTTGTAACCGCTAATCTCATTGATCGAGTACATGATGTTCTACACGTCTGGAGCAGGCCATTCCCACAACAGCTGGCCCAGAAGTGGACACGAACCGTAGCAAAGACAGATCCCAAACTCCGGGTGTGCAATATGGACACAGAGAATAATATGACAGAGAAGGTTAAAGAGAAGAAAGTCGGAGCACGGCTCTCGGCCTTAATGCCTCATGAGTTTCCATCTTAAACGGCACGACCAGTCGTAGAGTTCACGAGTTTTGGATGGACACAGAAGCAGATCCCGATGCTGTCTGAGAATGGACACTGCTGGGCTGAGCACTTTCTCCATCCCCGTTTACCATGGCTGCTGTATCAGACGGGAAGGGCGCATTCGTTGCGTCGGCCGGCTGGCTGCCTTGGTCGCCTTCTCTGCCTGCCTTAGGCATTGGTATCTCTTTCTTTCCATTGGCTTTGTAGTATAGAACCATATCGCCGGACGATCTCCAGATGTGAGCACGGATGGTTGCCAGAGTCATATTGGGTGGGATGAGCTGGTTCAAGTTAGCAAAAGGGTATGAGGTGGTTTGGCGTCAACATGTACACACCATCTTCTGGCAGTAGAGCTCCAGATACTCTTCCGGCTTCAGTGCGCCTTCCTGCGGGTCTTCAGAGTATGAAGGGTCAATTCTTTCCGCCACGTAAGCGAGAATCTTCTTCGCACGCAGCATACGGTTCGCATTCAAACGAGAATTGTTGACACCGTTACCATTGGGAACCGACCTACAGTAGTTACACCGTTAGCAGAATACAGTAGAACCACCGAGGCTGTACATACAGGTCCGGCTTGGATACGGGTGGCAGCAGGTCGTCATAAGGTTTCAGCATAAAGGCGATCTTGACGGGTTCCTTGACAGGCACTTGGTTCTACCAAGAATTAGCCATATTCAGAATCCGAATCGCTGAAGAAATGTCACCTTCAAAAGCAGTTCAGCCAGCCACATGGGTATCGACTTCTCAAGCCTGTCAATCTCCTGGCCGATACTACCAACACTGCCTCTGTAAAGATCCGAGGCCACAGCGGTATCCCCTGATTCCTCCTGAATGAAAACAGCAGTTCGAGGTGGGATATCTAGCACTGGAGTCTCGTTATCAGGACTTGGCACGATGGCTGATACGAGCTCCTGCCCCGGATTTGCCGCGAGGAATTCATCATATTCATGACGAATTCTCTCGATGAAACCGCTCAGGTTGCTATCAAAAACCTTTTCTTCTTTGACTGCCGAGGGTTCTTCCGGTTCCTCCACCTTCTCCTCCTGCACCTGAGGCTTGACCTCGGTGGAGGTCCTGCCCAACTTCTTGGGGAATTCCATCCGGAATTTCTTCCCAAAGATCGATCCAGTTCTCTTCCTCTCTTCTTTATCAGGCTCGGCGGGCGATTGAGGCAGAGCGGTTGGAGTAGGATCTCCGGGTGTTGTCGCATCCACCGCATATGAGCCTTGTTGTCTCGGGGTCGAGAAGTAATCGGATTTGTCTGACATGGAATTCCTCACTACGTCGGCATGAGGCGATACGAGATGGTCACCGAAATCACCGGGCGACGTGCCAAAGTGATTGTTGTGAGTATTGAGCATGGAAGACGTCAGAGAACCTGGAGTAGTAGCAAGATGGATTCCGAAACCGGGCGTCGTAGGGCTTCCAAACGATTCACTTCCAGGGCGCATGTGCAGAGACGACGGATCATAAGGGATCTGTATTCCTAGATTCTTTGCATTAGGTGATGGAATGTCCATCGGTGCCGTGACACTCGACATGGTCTGTCTGGCCAACTCTTCGGCCTTTGCAATGGCCGACGCACGGTACTGCTCATCTCGCTTGATCTCCTCGTCCACTAGGGGAGCAAAAAGCCAACGGAGAACCCATTTCCCCAGATTTACTGTTTAAGGTCAGCCAGCTCAGACAAGAGAAAAGAGAAGTCGAATATTCCAGGGCCGAGGAAAGGAAGTCACCCACTTCTTTGATCCTCCCGGATTTGTGAGTAATCGTGAAGGTCAGCCTCGTCCGCGTAGACCTCGGCGTCAAAGCAGCGATTGAGCTCCAGGATGACAGATAATCGACCTGTCCTAATGTCAATCGTGCACCAGTGAGCGATGCTCTCTGTAGTATTGATCTCCGATGCGACATCGTCCATATGGCGCTTGCCGAAAGATTGTATTGGTTTGCACTGCAAGGGTCAGAAGAAGCCTCGTCGGGTGGATGGCGGGAGATGTACCTTGAGAAGATCCCAAAGAACGACCTCGCCGGCGGAATCTTGCGTGAGCGTGCGCTTTCTGTCATTCAACATGAAATGCTTGATCAGGCCATGTTGGCCCTCTATCGTCTCTTCGGGTAACGAGTACACTGGTAGATTGAGATCCAGATCGTCGTCCAGGTTCGGATCGGGCGATCGCTGCTGTCCTTTCGTCGACAAGCCGTCGGACGTACCTTCTGGTACTCGTGACTTTGGGAATGTCGACGTGCTTGACAACAGTAGAATTGACTCATATGGTATCTTTGTCCGCCGACCTTTCTGGGCCAAAGACTCCTCAGGCTTGGCTGCTTCAGAGCCTGCAGGGCCCCTTGACGAGGGAGACTCAATCTCAGCAGTGGTATCAATATCATACCAGCGGTTGATACTGGACTTGGGGGTGGCAGTCCAGATGTAGTCACCGGCAGCGACCACATTGACGACACCGTCGTTTTCTTGCAACGCTGCGACACAGATGCCCTGCTCCACGTCCGAGCAGTGCCTTGTATCTGTCTTGGCGACCAAGCCAGAACGGTCGCTCGAATAGAAGACCGACAGCTGTGGATGGCTGGAGTAGAGCGACCAGACGCTGTCGTTGTGCATTGTCAGCGTGTGCATGCATCTTCCTGCTGTGAGAGACCAGATCTTAATCGTTTGATCTGAAGAGGCGGTCATGATCCTATCTCCGTCTCGAGTGATCAAGATGTCTCGAATGTTGTCTGTATGCCCCACAAATTTGGTGATCGGCTTTCCAGATTTCGGATCCCAGACTCTGACCACGCTCTCCGGGCCACCGCTGGCGAGGACCGACGAGACTGCCCCCAGCGCATAAACAGAACCCTTGGCCGTGCTCTCGCCTCCGCAAGCATCGATGCTGAGAACCTCGCCGCCACCATTCAGATCCCACAGGTAAAGCTTGTGATCGAGTCCTCCCGAGGCCACCCAACTTGAGTGACCTCCGGGCGTTGCAAGGGCCTTGACATAATCTGCATGCTTGCCGATGGGTGATGGCAGCTCGGTGGATTCCGACTGTGGTCGCCAGAGTCTCACGGTGGTGTCGGATGAAGCCGAAACAAGGGCCGAATTATTCTGCGTTAAGACGATGTCATTGATCCAATGGCTGTGGGCTTGCACTTGATGTCTGAAGGTAGTCGGTTCTGAATTTTGAGCGCCTTGAACTGGAGAGGCTTTGGATGCGGAGAGAGGGAGATTGAGATCCCATGAGCAGATCACTCCATCGCGGCCAGCGGAATACCTTGGAAGACAGCAGTCAGCTACTGCAGCGTACAAAATAATCCAAAAAGGGACTTTCAAAGACAGTATCATAGGCAGTAGACAGGGTCATGCTCACAGGATAGAGTGCTCTTCATCAACGGTCAAGCTATTTACTCCGAGTCGGTGACCACCCGGCGCATCAGGCAGAGGGAGCACTAAACAGCCGCAGTTAGATAAGCCGTTGGGGTCGCAATGCGACAGTTCAGAGGGTAGACAGGTAGGATGAGGAAAAGAACATACCATAAGTGACCCTCTGATGACTTGGTTTCCGTGCCATGCAGCAGGGATACAGACCGATGCACTAGAAGGAGGATGGAAGGCAAGGAGATTTGCTGCGGAGACGGGGAGATGATGCGGATTGCGGAGCGGTTAGTGGTGGTGACCCGCCGGACAGCTCGGGGACGATCACACGAGGAGTGCAGAGAATGTGGGGTTACTGAAAGTGATGCATCTAAGGGCATAGATGACGATATTAACAGTGACAAAGAAAGAGTGAAAATTAGATTAATGGATAAAGGAGCACAATTCGAACAGCGAAAGAGAGGGAGATAGGAGGAGGAGGGAGGAGGAGAGGAGTAAAAGGTAAACTAAGTCCGGAGACAGATGAGGAGAGGAGAAGGCGGGATAACAAAGAACAAAGTATTCTAAATTGTCCCCAGCCATCATAAGTGGTTCTTAATAAATGTCTGTGTGTATGGTTTTCTAGCCAGTAAGCTCCAGAATGCTCACTCTCCATAGACATGGATAATAGCCTAATTCTACAACGGCCTCTCATAACACAGCAGGAACAGCTACATCGCGTAGACTCTAATAGATACAATGAGGGTTGTTTCACCGTATGTTCGAGTCTATCCAGGACTGATGTTTCAGTCTCAGTCTCAGTTTCGAGTCCTGTGCCGTGTAACCATTGTCCAACGATCAACTGGCTAGAGATTCAGCCACGAGGTGGACACTTGTCTCCCAAGTGACAGTGACAGTGACACCATGACCAACAACTGTCATAGTGACTAGAGAGCACAAGAGTCTCCAACTTGGTATCCACCCTGATATCATCTTGATAGCGCTGTGTAACTCCAAGGTATAAAATTGTATAGAACAACAACCACCTAGGTAGACACTTCTCTCTCTCTACCCTTCTATCAATGCTTGTAGATAACATGGACATCCCCATCCCATCCATCAAACCAATCTACCACCCATCTCCCACCACCCCCACCCCCAAATCCAAATCCGTCCATACAGCCCTCCAAACTCTCCATCTCCAACCTCACCCGGAAGGAGGCTACTACGCCGAAACAGACCGTCACCCGCTCCGCATCCCCAATCCTTACAGCCAAGACCAAAGCGACACCAACACCAACACCAACACCAACACCAACACCAACCCCAACACCGACACCCGCTCCCTCTCCTCAACTATCTACTACCACCTCACCCCAGACTCCCCAACGAGCTTCTTCCACCTGAACCGCAGCCGCACGATTCACAGCCTCCACCGCGGCCGGGCGCGGTACGTCATTATCCACGCGGACTTGGCGACGCATGATGGCCCGGCGCCTGTTACATCGTTTGTGGTCGGTCCGGACCTAGACAAGGGTGAGAGGATGCAGTGGGTTGTGGAGGGGGGAAAGTACAAATCGTCTTATCTGTTGCCGGATATGCCCTCGGAGAACGGGGATGGGGAGAGCGAGGGGTTGTTGATTACGGAGGCAAGTGCATGTCGATGTATAAGCAGAGATGTATACTGACATGCCAGACCGTTGTCCCTGGGTTTGAATTCGAGGATCATGAGTACCTGAGCCGTCAGACGATGGAGAGACTGCTGCCGGAGGAGCAATACCGAGCGCTGAGCTGGATGTTAAAGAAGGATTGATGACGTCTACCTCTACTGTACATACAATTGCCATTATACATCGTGTGTGGTTATAGATATACATTCTATTGCGATTCCCTCTTGCGCTCAAGGGTATTCCACGCCCACTGGTAACTCCCCAGAAACACCGCGCCCCCGATCCCAATCCAGGCGACGCGCGGCCCAATCCCGCGCCAGAACGCCCCGAACCCTTCCCCAGAGATCTCCTGCACGACATCGCGGATGCGCACGCGGGCGCTCCCCTCGCCCCGCCGCGCCAGCATCACCCGCGTCTTGATAACATCCAGCGGCGTCGTCAGCCCGGCCGCAATCGACCCCGCAACACTCCCAAACATTGCGCTTGTGGATGCAGGAACCTGACTCAACACGCCCGACTCCGACGACGGCACCAGCACGCGCTTGGCATATGCCTCCTTCATTGACTCCCACATGGTAAACTGCAGCACCGTGAAGGGGATCTCCCGCGCAATCGTGATCCCCGCCCCGCGGTACAGCTCCCGGACGACCTGCCCGTACCCGCGCTTCGCATTTCCCGTCGGGTCCGGGTGCCGCAGCGCCAGGATGTCCTTGAGTGCGAGCAGACTCGATCCACCGAAGAGACCGGCCTGTGCCCGCTGCTTGACCACCTCTGTCGGCACCCGCACGGCGCATGCGGCGATCTCGCCCATCGATGAGGCGAGCGAGTGAGTGAGGACGACGTGGGAGCGCGGGGCGGCCGCGTCGGAGCCAGAGGGATGGAGGAGAGAGCGTTTGACGCCGTCGTAGACGATGAAGAAGGATGCGGCGGAGGGGGCGGAGCCGAACAGCACGGAGGGGAGACCCGCATAGATGCCGCGGATGGTTTGTCTTAGCGACAGGGTGGATGATGGCGTGCTTGGAGCATGGTGTTTAGCTTTCTGTAGACGAGTTTTGATTGTGTCGAGGGGATAGAGCGAGCAATCGACTGTGAGGCCGGCTACTGCTCCGGACTAGAGGCACAGGAAACGGAGAGGTTAGCACTCAGCCACCGGAGGAAGAATTGACAGACAACAGTAAGGAGACACGGATAGAAAAGAAACCAATCTTACAATCAGGGATCTTGTCCATAGGGAGACCAATGGCTCTGCTTCTAATTGCTGGGCCATGGTAGATAGGAAGCTTGAGGTTGCAGTTGAGTCACGTTCTACCTCAACATGTCGGACAGAAGAAAACTGGTTCTGTGCCGTGCAATTATCTAACCAATCCCTTGGAAGTTATTGTAGAAGCAAATTGAGAATAATAACAGAGAGAAATAAATTCGTGAAAGGTTGTAATGCTGCAGGAAGCAGGAACCGAGAAATCGAGTGTCGGAATGAAGCTCCAGATTTCGACCATCTCCGATAATCGCCCACTGTGGGAGTCGGCATAAAGTCCGCTATCTCCGCACTACGTCAACAGCCCATCTGAGGGTTATCAACACCATTCAATTGAAGAGCTCATGAACAGCCTTCACATTTGGTAATTCTTGTTAATTTATAATATCTACTTAACCACTTTGTCTCTGGGAATGCACAATTAGAGACTGGTAATATAAACAGAATGACAGGATTCCTGGCAAAAACCAGGCACACTCTAACAGCCCCTTCACCACATCAGTTTGACGACGACAATCAAAAAGAAAAATGGAAGTTAAAACTCTAACGAATAAACATCTATCGCGGGAGCCGGATTGCTTCAACAGTCCACCCTCCAAAGAAGAAACCACAACGCCTGGTAAACATAACCACTAAGCCCTCTTTCCAACGCTGAGATCAATACAATGATACATAGAACGGATGAGTCTGGTGAGGGGGTGAGAAGTGTGATGAGCTCGCTCGCACAGTCACGTATTTCGGAGGAAGGACGGTGGCAAGGGGAAACAAAGGATGAATCGGCGCCAGCCAGCTCCATGGCGAAGTGAAGGCCATAGGATTTCAGGCGGGAGCCCTTGGCTATCGTAGAAGTAAAGACGGATGAAGTGAATAAAAGGTGGAAAGACGGATGGTGGTAGAGACAGATCGTATCCAAAATTCGGAAGTAATCATTTTTACCTGTAAGACCAGAAACATTTTGTAGGGACAAGTAAGATGGAAGGCTCATTTGGCCTTGTTATTGGGCTTGTTGTTGGCTTTGCTCTGGACTGGCTGCGATGCCGAAGGGGGCTCCAGGACATGGGTATGATTGCAAGCTTTGATAACCTCGCCCGTTACTTCCTGCCGGCAAGCTTGGATGTTTCGAACCCACTCATCGGTCAAAACATCTTCCAGAGTGGCCCGTTCCTTTACGTTCACTTTGAGCATGCGACCGATAATATATCGGCTTTCCCGTGGCAAGATACGGAGGAGCCTCCAAGGACCTTTGATGACCTCCTGACGCTGACTCGATGACTGCGCTGAAGCTGGGAGGGGCGGCGCTTCCTTGCTCGTTGTTCGGGTCGGTTTACTGAGGCTGCCGCTAACCTTATCTTTAGGACTCTCAGGAGGGCGGTTCTCGTCACTCGTCGTGGAGGTGGGTTGGGCTTGTTTCTTTTCCGAGTCCGATTGTGCCGAAGGCTCACTTGACACGTTCTTCTCCTCCGCTGGCTGCGCCGGTTTGCCCTCGTTGTCAACCGCCGACAGGTCTGGGGCTGATTTAATGGCGCGGTGACGCTTCGGGTCAGCATCCGGCACAGGGGTTCCTGGCGTTGGTGTTGAGACAAAGAGCCTATAGGAGTTATCGCTGACGCGGGGTTGCTTCCACGGAAACCGGCGCAGTGTCATGCAGCAGAATATAATAGCCAATGACCATATATCTGTTGGACGCGGGTCATACTTCTTTTCGTCGTACACCTCTGGTGCCAAATAGGGGTCGGATCCAACAATACCTGTCACACAAGCAAGTAAGCTACGCTGGTCCAAAAAGAGATCCGCATTGAAACAACTCACCAGAAGCAGGAACAATGTCATTCTCAAAGGGATATCGGAAGACAACCGCACTGCCGAAATCGATGAGTTTCATGATGCCGTGCTCATTGACAACCACGTTATCCAACTTCAAATCCCGATGCGCCAGTCCCATGCCGTGCAGGTAGGCCACACCACTGAGGATTTGCTTGAAACAGCATGCGATTTCGTCCTTGGACATTTTCCCGGTCATGACGATCGCAAACAAGTCATAGGGCGCGTATTCCATAACCTCGTACCAGTGATCTCCCTCCTGAATGATATCGAGTGTCTCGATGATATTGCCGTGGTGCAGGGTTGACCCAATGCAGAATTCGGCTGTCACCTTCTTGGAATATTCCTTCATCGTCTCCCAGGAATGACGGTCTCGGAATTGTTTCACGGCAAAAGTCACTCCATCGCTGTTACGCTTCAATAACCGAACAGAACCGCCGGCTCCGGAGCCCAAAACTTTCCCGAGCTTTCCGTATTTGGTGTTGAGCCCGTGGTCATCGGCGAAAGGAACGTTTTCTGAGGGCGAGCTCTTTCCGGAAGAGCGGCTCGACCGCTTCGGCATAGAGGAGGGAGAATCGCCTCGCTTATGCTTGTGGTGACCCATCTTGAAGAATCGCTTGAGCTCCGCCATGTGGCCATGATGTTTGCTTTCACCGCTGTCGCTCTGTCGTAAATCTTTCTTGCTGCCGAAGATACCGCTTCGCTTGTCGCTAGATTTCAAATCGCCAGCACTGGCGGAGCGGGGGGTTCCGGGACGACCAAAAGTTGACGTGGTGTGGCTCCGGCGTTTGGAGTCACGGCCTCCAAAGATGAATCTTTGGTCGATTTGGGCAAGGTTCTTAGCCTGGGGCGGTCGCTTGCTGCGAGCATAGGGGTCGTTCGGCTCTCCCACAGGCGTAATGGCGCCAGGCGGGGTATAGTCTCGTGGTGTCGCTGGCGGGCTCTCCTCCTGCGAGTTTGGTTCAGCCCCGGGACCGAGAAAGAATTGCGCCCGATGCTTCGGCCCGTTCAAGGGATGAGATGAAGTTTTGGAAACATCGATCTGCTTGGACAGTTGGTCAGTGGAAGACGGCCGAGACGAGGGCGCGCTCTGCGCTACCCCTTTTCTCTCAGCCACGACTGGAGGCGACGTTTGCGGAGTCATGGCTGCAGCAGCGGTTCTATTCGCAGCATTGGTGGTAGGAGGAACGCTTTGATGTGTGGCTTCACGCGAATTAGTAGCTGCAGGTGTAAGAGGAGGCGATTGCATCGGAGAAGCACGGGGAGACGGCAAAGAGGAGCCATTAAGTTCCCGGGCACTGCGATCGCTTGATTCTCGAGACGCGACCTGTGAAGTAATGCAGTGTTAGTCTACATCAACTGCTAGGCTTTGTAGAGAGATACTATAATATCGCGAAAGCCAACATCGACCGTTCGCATGCCACATACCCTTGACGAAGGAAGAGAAACGGGATCGTAAGAAAAGTTTCGCAACCGAGTCTCCTGCAACTGAGAGCTTTGGAGGCTCTCTGCTAGGCGCTGCAGGTCATCGTTCTCCTTTGGAGGCACCACGGATTCTGGTTCGGGTGATTGAGGAGCGTTGGGCGGCTCGATTTCTTCGGTGATGGTGGAAAACCGAACCTGACCCGGCTGTGGTTTGGTCATAGATTCACTGTTGGAGGAACCCGTGGCCTGGCCAGCTGCCATCGGGGCGTGCTCCTGAGTTGTCTGAGATGCTAATATTGAAGCCAACTGCGTTAGAGAATGAGTTGTAGGCGAAAAAGTAAGAGCATTGCCTACCGGGATCCATGTTTTTGGTTGTACCGGCAAACTCGGTCGCTCCAGACGTCATACGGACTCGTCAAAACCACGCTGTGGAACGCATGCCCCTCCGCACTTGCGAACCTGTTGGTTTAAACTTTGAAATGACAAATCCTTGTCGCTCAGATTGCAATTCCTGCTGCGACTATCAACTGTACCTGCGGGGTCAACCTGCACAGGACGTGGAGGGCTGGATAACGTGGGAATTGTAAGGAGTGAGCGCGGGGGGGTAAATCTCGTATGGAAGACGGAGCAAAACTTCTGGCGAAGACCGACTGTTACTCAACAGCTCTGACGGCGACAGTTTTGAGCCTAATGGGCTGGAACCAATTATTAATCGCCACTGCTCGGAATTAAAAGAATACAAAAAAATGAACAAGTCTGGAAGAAAGGTGACGCTGAGATGGAAAGTTGTAGGACTGAGACCTGGGTAGCAGATAGATAAGACGATGAGGGACTAAGATAGGAAGATCCACAAGTCGTAGTTGCTGGTAGAAATGTCTACCTTGGACAAATAAACGCTGAAAATGGAGAACGGGGAATGGAGAAGGATGAAGAGAGGGAGAAGAGTAAGTAAGAACGGTGGATAGAGAGAAGTTTGGAGCCACTTTCAAGAGTCGACTCTGGGCTTGCTTGGACGGGGGCGGCAATAGCGGCGACGGAACGACAGGAAAGGTGGGCTGGACTCTGCGCCTGGACCTTACTACGACCAATGTCTGTATGTACTCCAAATTATTCTTACTCACTACTATTGAAGAGACAAGACATCAACAATTATTTTAATAAATACTGATATGCTACTCCGCTGTCATATATTTATATGGTGATCTGGGGCTCGGCGAAGGAAATGCCGTCATATTTCAGAGCTTTTGTTTGGCCAAAGCTGTCGGGCGACAGTACACTCATGCGAATATCCTCTTTCCCTCAAGAGATACTGTCATGGCTTGTAGAGCGAATAGTTGAACGATCCTCTCCTCGTGCTAGGCACAGATCTTTCAACAAAGAGAAAGGTTACTAAGCTAACAATACTCGGTAAAGTATCTACCATACGAAGTAGGAAGTCTTGTTCAAGTTGTATGACGCAGCAGATACTCACCTCTACACTGAAGAGTACCTTAGGTAAGTATACATCTGGCACTTTTCAAGATCATAAAAAATACTCCGTAGAACCGATAAACCACGAAGTTCAAGGCACACACGCCTACATATTCGAGGTCAGCTGCCCCATTTGCAGCCGGGTCCAAGAACTCCAAGAACGAGAACCAGTCCGTTCATCAGCTGGGGGGATCTGACGGATGCCGTCTATCCGTTGCAACCAACCACCCAGGCGCACGATTGGAAGCTGGCTACCTTACTGTCTGAGGACGAGATTGGTCCAATCCCGCACTGGCGGAGACCGGGATGGCTGTTCTTCTACCCCGCTAGATTTTTCTGGATTGTGTTTTGGCGTTGAATCGATGATTCACTAGATAAGAATCGTGCATGCAGCGGCTAATAGGAAGGTAGGCAGGCAAAGGCAAGGTACAGGTACCTAGGTACAAGGTACTTACCTACCTAGTCCGGACGGCAATCTCCCTGCCAACTGTGGCTGATCTCATGTTGTTAGTTATAATATAAGTTCGACTATATCGTCCAGCTCATCATCTCGTCATTTCTTCCTGCGTGTGATTTGAAGATTCTCTCCAGGGTACGACTTGATACCCCAGCAATCCATTTGCAGCTCCAACATGGTAACCACAGATATGGTGGGGTAAGTGACTTGGCCAGCAAAACTAGTCCCGATTGGGATGCCAAGACACTTGATATGACACTACTGAATCCGGTTAGCATGAAGATCACCAATTGATGATACCTACCAGAGAGATTGTAACTCATTCCGTAGTTGATGATCCTTGTTCTAGATTTCACCTTCGAGACTGTTATTCTTGGAGAGTTGTCTATTGAGAGTGGACAGCTAGAAAGGATGACTCAAATGACCTGGAGCTATGAAGATACCGAGGGCTGAACTATGTTTTCTGGAGGACGAGCATTACTCTACAAAATGTCTCAATGCAGCCCAATGCAGATGACGACAGTTCGTCAGCAACTCTCTGGAATTCAAGAAACAGAACATGGAGGTAACGAGGGGGCAAAGAATGCTGGGGTAGCGAGACTTACGGTTTGGGAGACGACTTCTAGTCGTACTCACCGACTTCGGAAGTTTGATAGTTGACAAGAGCAAATCACAACTCCCATGATATTTCAAGTAGGGATCTGCAGACTGCTAGTAGCGTCGTCCATCATGTCTTCTTATTCGAAATCTGCCAAGATCACAATACCTGGGCATTGCGTGGATTTGTGCAGTTTCATTCTCGCCAAGCGAATTCAGGGAGAATGATGTGCAACCCTTAGAACTATTGACGAATTACATCTGCTGTCTAGATACCTAGCCAAATAACTACGAGTCTCATCTGGTTGGCGACATCTAACTAGCAAATATCCTTGAGCATCCCCGTCCATGTCTTCTATCTTGTCTTCTATTGTCATTTGAAGCTAGTGGTCTTCGCCCAAGCACGACGGGAATGCTATGAACCACCTCGTCAGAACACGATGGTCCAAGAGGAATCCCCTTCTCACACCGCTCACAAGCTTGTCAGAATATCGAAAGCGCAAGTCAAAGGCAGAGTCCATGATCCACTCAAAGTAACCTCCCCAAGGAAAGGAGCCGTCAATTTGACTTCAGCCTTTCTTTCTCAGCAACCGGTGTTCAAGTTCCACAACGCAATTTATTCAGTGCGTGCAAATGCTGTGGGTATTTGACAACGCTCTATATCGCATGCAAGTCCTATAATGTACACATTGTAAAAGCCCAACCCAAACAACGCCGGTGTCGTAATCCAAAACAGCATGGCTGCAGTCGCACGAATCGCAAAAGTATACACTTGAGATGAACAGTCCTTTCTTCCAGGTGCTTATTCAAGGCACAACCTGGATGCCAATAGACTTTGCCTGCGCCATAATACTCTTGCACAATCCCTGCAAACTCAGACCTGATAATCTCGTCTCGGACTGCTTAATCTTGGCGATTTCGTACACATGCTTCAGGGACACTTTGCCGACGGTCTCGTGGCCAGGTTTCATGGCTCCGCGGATGCGGTTCTTGCGGGGCTCCACGTTCGCAGCCTGCAGGAGGAGATATGTCGTCGTTGGGGTTCGAAGGTCGAAGGTGAAGGATCGGTCAGGACGAACGGTGACTCGTGCGGGAATGGGGACTCCGGTGTTGATGTGCGCGGTTCTGGCGTTGAACTCCTACATGGGCGCGTGGCGGTTTAGTAAGATCATCAAGCTCATCCTTTCCATCCAGATCCGCATTAAAGCCGGAGAAGGAAGTTGAAGAGAGGAGCGTACCTTGCAGAAGTCCATACTCTTGACACCCTTGCTACCCAGGGCTGGACCGACTGGGGGACTGGGACTGGCCTGTCCAGCTCCGACAATGAGCTTGACAATTTGATCTTTAGCCAGTGCCTTCTTCGCCATGGTGAGATGTGCCCGCAAAGAACGAAAGTATGGTATGTCTGTATACAAAAACGAAGTGATCGGCCAACTATTTGCGGCCGAGTTTTGTTCGGATTCGGATAAGTCCCAGTGCCGGAGTTTCCTTCCCCTTTGGGTCGCCTTCCGACCGGCGACAAAGACGATAAAGAGAGCATTCTTGGACTGCTCAGATGGCTCAACTTGATCAAGGTGGGACGCCATTGGGATGATGTCGCTGAAAAATCATGATCGTAAGATGATCCTACCTTAGAAAATTGTCGTCATAGTCTATAGTGCTTTGTAATTATCACCAGTAGCGTCAATATCACCTCTGCAACCTCTCAGAAGCCAACACAGCAGCTGCAGTTAACCCGATCGACGCCATTAGTGCCCCACGCGCTACTATTGATTTCCCTCTCCCTTCATCCCTCCCTCACCTTGACCTCACAATCATCATCTCCTATCTGCCCATCATGAACTGGCTCAAGTCTACGTATGCTATTTCTCTGGTCTCGTCTCATTTTTGATGTATAATAGCGACCATACTGATTGACCATGCTGTATGTAGCCTCGCAAGTGTTGCGGGCACTCAGGAGCCCATCTATGGCCCCGAGGCCATTCAGTCTGTTGCCCAACAAGCACAGCATACCCCTTATACCGTGTTGACCAAGGACGACCTGCGGTGGCGCGCTTATCAATATACCAATGTTGAGACTGAGACCTTTTATGTGATGGCCGACAATGGCACTCTGGTCATGGTGCAGGTCATCTACAGCAACATCGCGTGAGTGGAACTGTTCCGGCTGTTGCCATTATCGGGCCTCATTTTGCCCCTGTCGATAATGCAATTGGCCCTTCTGTATCATGGCTGGCTCAACACCTGACACTTGTGCAGAGGAATCCACACTACTGCGCAATTCAACTCAAAGATCTTTAACCTCAAAGGCGATCAACCCCACATCTGGCACTCCGACCCCCTATACAACTTCATGTTCGATGAGAACATGCTCTCCTTCGGAGCCGACAACCTTGCCTTGACGCTGAATGAGGAGGGAAATGCGTACACCGTCAAGTCTGCCGTTAACGAGGACGCCCTGGTGAATCTGACGTTCACCCGCGCCGCCCCCGGTTTTGTCGTAGGAAAGGACGGCACATCGTATTTCGGGACCGATCCCGCGAATCCTTGGGGCTCCATGATGCATGCCTTCTGGCCTCGGTGCCGTGTTGAGGGTACAATCACGACGAAGGAGAAGACTTATGACCTCACCGGTCGGGGAATGTTCATTCATGCCCTCCAGGGCATGAAGCCCCATCACGCTGGTAAGTTTCCCCACCTTGTAGTATAAACCTAAATGAGAATACTGAGCCGGCAATAGCTGCACGGTGGAACTTTGTCAACTTCCAGACCCCCTCATACTCTGCCGTCATGATGGAATATACCACACCGCCCTCGTACGGCTCGACAGTCGTCAATGTCGGTGGGATCGTCAAGGATGACGAGATTATCTACGCCGGTGCAACGAACTCGGCTACCCACACCGCAACGGCCCATGACGCGGACAGCGACTGGCCTGCTCCGACTTCCATCAAGTGCGTCTGGGAGGGCAAGTCGAAGGACGAAAAGGACGTCCACGCAGAGCTAGAGGGACCCCTCGGTAACCGGCTGGACCGCATCGATGTCATGGCTGAAGTACCAGGCTTCGTCAAGACCATCGCAGGAAGTGTTGCTGGGACACGGCCGTACATATTCCAGGTGCGTTTTCTTAAACAATCGGTATACGGTTTGTCAAGCTAACAATTGGCCAGTATTCTCCCCAAGAGAAACTGACTCTGAAGCTCAAGGTCGGCGACGAGGAGTTCTCAGAGGAGGGTTCCATGTTCTCCGAGGCTACGTTCATCTCATGAATGACTCTACGTACATATAGCACACACCTGGCAGGAGCTTGTCTGTGGCGTTTTGAGTATTTGTTTTGCCCATTCTCGTTGATACTCATAAATCACGCAACCTGCGTGACCCTAATTACTCATATAAAGAAATTTTAATGCTATTCATGCTTGTCAAACCTCAATGCTATTATCCTGGTTCTAGGGGTCACATCAATGTTGGTTTCGTGTTTGTGCTATTCAATGTAAGTGATTCACCTCATTCAAAGACATCTCTAGTAGCACAACACAACAGACAAGAAGCTAACACAGCTCGTAGTATTTATAGCATAGTGTTTTCCTCGACTGCCAACAGCAAACAGCCTTCCAACATTTCCCCCGCAATCTTTCATATAATCTCTTTCAACCTGCAGCAGACAAACATCCTTACACAACTTCAATCACGCACCGCTATCATGGATGTCGCTCACCTAGCCGCCAATCCGAATACTCGAGGCCTCCTCCTAAAAGGCCACCGGCGTCGGTAAGTTGCCTATTTACTGCTGTTCTCTTATGACCTCGACAGTGGGGACTTGGCCAGCATCCCGTACGCCTCCACCTTATGCTCACCATTATAAACTCACAGTTTCCACCGGGACAATATCCTGGGAATTAGTAAGTTTCCATGTAGCCAAATCCGGTCCTCCAACCCGCTAACCGCAATCTGTAGCCAAACCCGCTATCCGGTAAGCTACTCGCCCACGAACATCCATGAGACCTCCCCTCTGAACCCTCATCGGAAACAACAGCCGTCTCGCCCGCCGTGGTGGTGTAGTCCGGATAAAAACCGACATTTACGCTGAAATACGTTCCGTCATCAGAGAACGGCTTCGTGAGGTAAGAATCCTCCAACTCGAACCACCGGCCTTTCCCCGGAGGACAAGCCATGGCCTTGAGGCGAAGGAGATGTACTAATTGCCCTAACTGTAGATTATTTTCCAAGTTGTCCAAGTCTTGGAGTCTTCCAAGACTCACAGGCACGACAGAAAGGTTAGTAGCATCGAATGTTTTTCCTTGTTGTATGCAGTGGAGGATTCTTCGAGTTGACCGATTATATTTGCTCTTGCTAATCTGCTCGAGCAGGTCATAACTACGCGAGATGTGAGTTTCTGGTAGTTGAACTGAGATAATGCAAGTGAATACTAATACGAATGTCTGATTCTCAAGGTCGTTTACGCCTTGCAAAGAGTGAGGCTTAGTTATCCCCAAAGTTGTTCAGTTATTAACGTTTGATATTACAGATGGGGCAAACAATGTACGGTTTTTAAGGTCGTTGGGCTGACTGTTTGGAACTGAAACGGAGTCGATTGAGAATCCGACGTTGGAGGACATAGTGACCGAAGACCGATAAGGACTATTAACAAGAATGAATGAGAGAAAACAAAGATCTAAGACAAATATTGAAAGACAGCTGCGTAACAAGTCTATTAACGAGATAGTACATAATGAGAGGAAGAGAATCCGCCAGCGGGACTGTAATAAGTACAGAAAAAAACTTCTTAGGGAAATATGGCTTAACCTTCAATCATCAACTGCTCTCCTTCATCCAACAAAGTAGTAATCTTGGATAAGTCCGAGATCATCTTGTTGCCATGCCCGACCAAAAGTAGCTTCTCGGCATTGGCTGGCAGACCCAGGAACGTGGGTGGCTCGCGCTCAGGGAGGCGTTTGACCCATTCGACAAAGTCACGGATGCTGGTTTCTCCAGGCAGAGCCAGGCACTCGTCCTTCTCAACACCCGAAACGAGCTTGTAGTCGACTTCGAAGGCAGCTGGAGTGAGGAAGCTGTTCACAAGATTCTCCAGCACCTGGAAGTCTTCAGCGTCGTCGACCTTGCCACCATATGTCTCCATAATCAGGGTACGGATCATCTCCCAGGGGAGTTTCTGAGGTGCAACATTGGATCGACCCTGGGCAACCGTCTCCACCCAGACATCGATGATATGGGCTGAGCATTCGTACTATTAAGAGCTTGTTAGTGGGATTGCAATGATGGATTTTGCTAATGTGGTCACTTACGTCACTGTCATTAAACTCCCAGAAGCCCTTCCAACCCAGGCTAGGCGCATAACGAAGTCTTTCTTGAACAACGGCATGCAAGAAACAAAGCAAGAGATAGACACGCGCTTTCTCGACTGGAGGTTGGCCGGCGCGTTCCATCAGTGTAGACAGTGAGTCTCTCATGTTTGCACGAATACCGGCTGGTTGCTCGTACATCAGAACGCGAGAAGCGCGGATGAGGTTGACTGGAATCTTGGGACTGGATTCCATTGACAGGAAGAGTCGGAAATCCTTATGAGGTTTGAGCGAGTCAAGCCTCTTCTCCAGACTTTGAAGCCACGAAGGTGCCAGGTGTACGTTCTTGACCAGTACCCACGTCCCGGCAGTAGCAGCATTGCTGATTGCTTTGTCGGCGCTCTCGAGACCTTCGTTGGATCCCATTGCAATATTGGCGCAGGTTGCGTGCATACGTTCGACGAGAGCATCCACTTTGTAACTAGCATCGAATCCAGGACTCGAGCTGAGAGAGATTGGTGTGGTTGCTGCAACCTGTTCTACAACGTCCTTCAAATCGGAACTTCCTTCGAAGAATTCTCGGCCAAAGACCGCCTCGATGAAACGCTCAGCAGCGGGTACGAATCTGTCCAGCCTGCAAAGCTTTACAAGTAACAATGACCGAAGCAGTCGGTCGAGCTGCTCGGTGTTGTCATCCCAAACGACCGGGACAGAGTTTTCAGCCAATTCCTCGCCCAAAAACTGATCCCATTGTTCTTGTGAGATATTGTCGAATGACGCTTTGAAGATTGCCATGTTCGAGATCTTGCTCAAGACCTGTTCTTTAAGCTCCGGAGCAGTCGACAGATCGGCACCCTGCACCGACTCATCAAGAATGATATCAATGATTGTCTTGTCCATCGGGTAGGGAGCGGCTTGTGCGAGAAGCATGGCCAGCGTGATACGGTCTTTCTGAGCCAGCCCCAGGGAAGTCCGCTGGAACGTCGTAACAAACAAATCCTTGAGAATGATTTGCACGCGCGCTGAGTGGTCTTTCTCCGCGGCAAGACGCTTGTTCTGATAGAGGACCGAGTGGAAAATATCCACGAAGTACTGCAGCGAAAATTGGTAGAAGTGATTGATGTGATGAAGCTGCTCCAATACAGCAAACACAGCGCTGCAAGAGCGAGCGATGATGCTGTAGTTTAGGGTGATATTTTCGACCTCTGTCATGACGCCTTCGGTCTCCACCATCTTCTTGGAGATCTCGGCCGCCTCTTTCTTTAGGGTCTCTAGAGTCTCAA